GGGCTCACCTTTGTCCCCCTCCACCCACAGATCAACGAATATCGCTCACGCTTGGACATAGAGCAGTTTTTCCGCCGCCTCCGCCTCCACGCTTACTTCTTCAACCGTGAACCTAACCCTCCCTCTACTGACCCCTTCTCCCGCTTCCAACACACCCCCTCCTCCTGGACACCACCCCAAGGCCTCCTACTCTCCCTTGACCTCTTCAACTCCAACTGCCGTCGAGACATCAATCGCCTCAACCTCTCCACCCCTCTCACCCACTCCAACCTCTCCCCCGCAGAACGTGCAGCCCTCCGCTCCAATCCCAACCTCACCATAAAACCCGCGGATAAGGGAGGCGCAGTTGTAGTTTGGCGCACTGACCTCTACATCGCCGAGGCCGGACGCCAACTCTCCGACACCTCCTCCTACCGCCCCCTTGATCATGACCCCACCCCCGAGCACCAAACCATCATCTCGCAAACCATCCACAACCTCATCACCTCAGGTGACCTCCCACCCACGGCCTCCAACCTCATCGTTCCCCAACCTCGCACTGCCCGCTTCTATCTCCTTCCCAAAATCCACAAACCTGAATGCCCTGGTCGACCCATTGTCTCCGCCTGCTCCTGCCCCACCGAACTGATCTCCAACTATCTGGACTCCATTTTCTCCCCCTTGGTCCAGGAACTCCCTCCCTATGTCCGTGACACCACCCACGCCCTCCACCTCCTCCACAACTTCCAATTCCCCGGTCCCCAACACATCATCTTCACCATGGATCTCCAGTCCCTATACACCTGCATTCCCCATACAGATGGCCTAAAGGCCCTCCGCTTCTTCCTGTCCCGCAGGCCCGACCAGTCCCCCTCCACTGACACCCTCATCCGCTTAGCCGAATTTGTCCTCACCCTCAACAACTTCTCTTTCAATTCCTCCCACTTCCTAAAGACAAAGGGGGTAGCCATGGGTACCCGCATGGGCCCAAGCTACGCCTGCCTCTTTGTAGGTTACGTGGAACAATTCCTCTTCCGAACCTACACTGGCCCTAAACCCCACCTCTTTCTCTGTTACATTGATGACTGTATCGGCGCCGCCTTGTGCTCCCACGAGGAGCTCGAACAGTTCATCCACTTCACCAACACCTTCCACCCCAACCTTAAGTTCACCTGGACCAGCTCTAATACCTCTCTGTCTCCATCTCCGGCAACCACCTCGAAACCAATATCCATTTCAAGCCCACCGACTCCCACAGCTACCTAGAATACACCTCTTCCCACCCACCTTCCTGCAAAAATGCCATCCCCTATTCTCAATTCCTTCGCCTCCGCCGCATCTGCTCCCAGGATGAGGCATTCCACTCCCGTACATCTCAGTTGTCCTCGTTTTTCAAGGACCGCAACTTCCCCCCCTCAGTGGTCGGGAACGCCCTCAACCGTGTCTCCCACATTTCCCGCAACTCATCCCTCACACCCCGTCGTCTCAATGAGAACCAAAAAAGAATCCCCCCTCGCCCTCATGTACCACCCCACCAACCTCCGGATCCAACGCATCATCCTCCGACACTTCCGCCATCTGCAATCCGACCCCACCACCAAAGACATCTTTCCCTCCCCACCCTTATCTGCTTTCCGGAGGGATAACTCTCTCCGTGACTCCCTTGTCCACTCCACACTCCCCTCCAGCCCCACCACACCCGGCACTTTTCCCTGCAACCGCAGGAAGTGCTACACCTGCCCCCATACCTCCTCCCTCACCCCCATCCCAGGCCCCAAGAAGACTTTCCACATCAAGCAGATGTTCACCTGCACATCTGCCAATGTGGTATACTGCATCCGCTGTACCTGTTGTGGCCTCCTGTACATCGGGGAAACCAAGCGGAGGCTCGGGGACCGCTTTGCAGAACACCTACACTCGGTTCGCAATAAACAACTGCACCTCCCAGTCACGAATCATTTCAACTCCCCCTCCCATTCCTCAGACGACATGTCCATCCTGGGCCTCCTGCAGTGCCACAACGATGCCACCCGAAGGTTGCAGGAACAGCAACTCATATTCCGCTTGGGAACCCTGCAGCCCAATGGTATCAATGTGGATTTCACAAGCTTCAAAATCTCCCCACCCCCTACCGCATCCCAAAACCAGCTCAGCTCATCCCCGCATCCCTAACCTGTTCTTCCTCCCACCTATTCCCTCCTCCCACCTCAAGCCACACCCCCATCTCCTACCTACTAACCTCATCCCGCCCCCTTGACCTGTCCGTCCTCCCTGGACTGACTTGTCTCCTCCCTAACTCCCCACCTACATTCACCTTTACTGGCTCCATCCCCGCCTCTTTGACCTGTCTGTTTCCTCTCCACCTATCCTCTCCTTTATCCATCTTCTATCCGCCTCCCCCTCTCTCCCTATTTATTTCAGAACCCCCTTCCCCTCCCTCTTTTCTGATGAAGGGTCTAGGCCCGAAACGTCAGCCTTCCTGCTCCTATGATGCTGCTTGGCCTGCTGTGTTCATCCAGCCCTGCACCTTGTTGTCTCGGATTCTCCAGCATCTGCAGTTCCTACTAACCCTGTTATTAACCTGCTATCACACTGCCCCCTGCTGTTAAAACCCAGTTTAACACCCTCAGTCCCAGCCTGGTGTTCTGTGACCCGTATGTAACTGAATTTCAGCTCCTGCTCACAGAATCACTGCAGTGTGGAAGCAGGCCATTCGGCCCATCAAGTCCACTCCGACCATCCGAACAGCATCCCACCCAACCTCAACCTATCCCTGTAACTAGCCTGCACATCCCAGGACACTATGGGAGCAATTTAGCATGGCCAATCCACCCTAACCTGCACATCTTTGGACTGTGGGAGGAAACCCACGCAGACATGGGGAGAATGTGCAAACTCCACACACACAGTCGCCTGAGGGTGGAATCGAACCGGGATCCCTGGCGCTGTGAGGCAGTGGTGCTAACCACTGAGCCACCCTAGAAAGAAAGGACTACCCACATTGGCAAGAAATCGAACCTGGGCTTCCTGTGATTGGGGGCTAGAATTTTACCACTGAACTACCAATGCAGCCACCATTTTTGTGCAGCATAAAACGGGTGGAAGAGAATCATTGAGTGCCAGATGATAAAAATTGAAGCGAGCCATGTAGCTGTTCGCACATCCCCAAGGCTGCAACTCCTCATTGGGAAGGCCCTGAACAGTGACTGAGTGAAATGGAAGGGGCAAACGTACTGTTCGAACTGGGGAGTTGCACCCCTCGTAACACTTCCTCTGGGACGCCCACACTCTGTTGAGGAAACCTACTAAAGAGCAGGAGAAGCCAGTTGGTCTTCCTTTGGCTGATTTTTCAAGTAGTTTCTCCTAAATGTGCAGAAGAAGTGCCAACATAGACGCAGCGCCCTTTGTTCTGTATTTTAAATTGAAGAGGAACGGAGACCATTCAGCCCATCATGCTGATGCCAGCTCTTTGGCGGAGCGATCCAATTGGCCCTGTTTTTCTCCAGTTGGAGATCAGTCTCCAGAACTGGAAGAGGCATGATTCTGAACCAAGAGAAGCCCCATTTGCTTTTTAAGGTGGGAATGGGGATGTTCACTGGGGAACATTGACCGGGGCGGGGGGTGTTGGTCTGACAGAATAAGCGTTGCAAGTAACGGCAGATTGGCTTAGCTCCATGTGGCAGAATGTGCCAAGCAGCCAGCTCGTTGCTATGCCTTTTTAAAATGTTTTTCAAGATTTGAAGCAAAATTTAGACCCTTCTACCAGGCACACTAAAGCAACACGCAAAATGCATTCAAGTTCAAGGTTTATGACAAAGAATATGCTGAAGCAGTTGAGAGATGCAAATTGATTAAACATTTCTCCTATATATATGAGCTGTCTTTCAATGTTATTTTGCAGTCGAACAGGTTATCAAACGGAGCATGCATCTTGCAGTGAGGAAGCAGCTCAAGGGATGAGCAACAAAATGTTCAAATGTCATTACATTTGACAGCCTTCAATTTCAAAGGTTTCAAGGAACTTGTTTAAATCTTCACAGCTTTTCCTGAAATTTGAGCCCCTGCATCTTCCTTCAGAGGGAATCTTTTCAATCCATGACTCTGAGTCAAGAATATACTGTATGCTGTTGGGTTGGTGTGTGGCAAAGGGGAAGGCAGACAGAGCAGGAGAATAATTTAGGTTAGTATAACTTTCACACACTTCTACGCATGTCATATAATGTATTATAGTTAATTGACAATAATTTTATATTTAAACATGAAGCTTTTCGAAGAGGGAAGATAGAACTTACAATAAAGAAATATATTTTGTCATCTCAGAAAATCCTAGAACAGGTTACAGCTAGTGAAATCTTTTGAAGTATAGCCTGTGTTGCAATCGCTGAGTGTATTGACAATGCCATTGGACTAGCAATCAATGGGCCCCGAATAATATTCTGGGGTCATGAGTTCAAGTCTCTCCACTGGTTTGGAATTAAATATTTGGAATTAAAAAGCTATTTTTATTTTTCATTGATCAGAAACTTAACTGGACTCATCATATAAACTCTGTGACTACATGAACAGGTCATTGCTAGGAATACTGCAATGAGTAGCTCTCCTTCCGACTCCTCAAAGCCTGTCCACTATCTACAAGGCACAAGTCAGGAGTGTGATGGAATACTCCCCACTTGCCGGGATGAGTGCAGCCCCAACAACACACAAGAAGCTTGACACCATCCAGGACAAAGCAGCCGCTTGATTGGCACTGCATCCACAAGCATCCACTCCCTCCACCACCGACGCTCAGTAGCAGCAGTGTGTACTATCTACAAGATGCACTGCAGAAAAATCCACAGATAGCACCTTCCAAATACATGACCACTTCCATCCAGAAGGACAAGGGCAGCAGATACATGGGAACACCACCACCTTCAAGTTCCCCTCCAAGACATTCACCATCCTGACTTGGAAATAAATTGGCGTTCCTTCACTGCTGCTGGGTCAAAATCCTAGAATTCCATCCCAAATGGCATTGTGGGTCAATTCGTGGATTGCAGCGGTTCAAAAAGGGTCAAAAACACCACCACCTCAAAGAAACTCGGGATGGGCAACAAATGCTGGGCCCAGTCAGTAATGCTGATGTCCCACAAATAAAAAAAAATCTTGTGCATGTGGTTCAGAAACGTCCTTCAGGGACGGAAATGTGCCATTCTTACCCAGTCTAGCATACATGGAACTCCAGACCCACGGCGATGTGGTTGAATGGACCTCAGATAATTAGGGATGGGTACTAAATGCTGGTAATAAATCCCGTGACTGAGTGAGAAAAATGGAAATTTTGCAGCTAATTGGGGTTCAAGTCCCAGATGTGCAACATGAGGGGCATGGATAGTGTGAACAGCCAAGATCTGTTCCCCAGGGTGAGGGGAGTCCAAATCTAGTGGGCATAGGTTTAAGGTGAGAGAGGGGAAGATTTAAAAGGGACCTGAGGAGCAACTTTTTCATGCAGAGGGCAGTGCGTGTATGGAATGAGCTGCCAGAGGAAGTGGTGGAGGCTGGTACAATTACAACATTTAAAAGACATCTGGATGGGTATATGAATACGAAGGGTTTAGAGGGACACGGGCCAAATGCTGGCAAATGGAACTAGATTAATTTAGGATATCCGGTCAGCACAGATAAGTTGGACTGAAGGGTCCAAGAAGGGTGAAGTCACATGGTATCAGGGGTGAGCTGGCAAAATGGATACAGAACCGGCTTAAGTCATCTGAGACAGAGAGTAGCAGTGGATGGATGCTTTTTTGGAACAGAGGGCTGTGACTAGTGGTGTTCCACAGGGATCAGTGCTGGGACCTCTGCCGTTCATGGTCGACATAAATGATTTGGAGGAAACTGTGGCTGGTCTAATTAGTAAATTTGTGGATGATACAAAGATTGGTGGAGTTGTGGATAGTGAGGAGGATTGTCAGAGGGTACACAGATTGGTTGGAAGCATGAGCAGAAAAATGGCAGATGGGGTTTAATCCAGACAAATGTGAGGTGATGCATTTTGGAAGGTCAATTACAGGTGGAAATTATACAGTGGTTGGCAGAACCCTTAGGAGCATTAATATGCAGGTCCACAGGTCAGTGAAGGTGGTAGCACAGGGAGTCATGGTAGTAAAAAAAGGCTTAAGTCATACTTGCCTTCATTGGAAGGGGCATTGAGTATAAGGATAGACAAGTTATGCTGCAGCTTTATAGATCTTTATTTAGGCTACACTTGGAATATTGCGTACAGTTCTGGTCACTACACTACCAGAAGGATGTGGATGCTTTGGAAAGGGTACAGAATAGGTTGGTCTGGGGGGATTTTAGCTTTGAAGAAAGGTTTGGATAGACTGGGTTTGTCTTCACTGGAACGCAGGAGGTTGAGAGGTGACCTGATAGACGTTTGTAAGGTTGTCAATGTCATGGATAGAGTGGAAGGTATGAGGCCTTTTCCCAGGGTGGAGGGGTCAATTACTATTGAACACAGGTTCAAGATGTAGGGAAGAAAGTTTAAAAGAGATGCATGAGGCAGGTTTTTCACACAAAGGGTGGTGTGTGCCTGGAATGCACTGCCGGAGGAGGTGTTGGAAGCAGACACAATAGAAGCACCTGGACAAATACATGAATGGGAGGGGAATAGAGGGATACGGATCCTGTAAGTGAAGACAGTTTTAGTATGGAAGGGTAAAATGTGTCAGCACAGGCTTGGAGGGCCAAAGGGCCTGTTCCTGTGTTGTATTGTTCTTTGTCCTTTTGTCTGTTTCCGTGCTGTATGACTCTAAAATGTGAAAAGGGGTTTGGTTAAAAATGTCTTTCATAAATGTGGGGACGAAAGCTGGATGTAGTATTCCAGATGTCGTCAAAACCATGTACAATTTTAGTTCCTTCTTGGTTGGTCTGCTCCACAGCACACTGCCACTGAGGCAGCTGTGGGGGATGGGGATTGAGACTCACACATCTCCTGCTGGAAAGTGCCTTTGCAAAGGAAGTCTGGAGAAAGATGCAGTGGTTATTGTCAAGGTTCATCCCAAGCAGCTCCATGATGCGGGACTCTGTGCTCTATGGCCTGTTCCCCGGGACGCACACCGAGACAAACATCGACTGCGCCTGGAGGACCATCAAATCCGTGAAAGACGCTCTCTGGTCTGCCCGAACCTTGCTGGCCTTCCAGAACAGGGAGTTGACCCTGACCAAGTGTTGCAGACTGGCACATTCCAAGGTCCAGGACTAGGTGCTGAGGTACGCACTAAAGCTTGGGGCAGCTCCCACCAAGGAGCAGTGGGGAAAGACCACCACGTGAGGTATTCCTGCTGAAGGTAAATGGGGGTCCACTTAGTTATCGGACCCTCTTGTGCCTCAAGTGCACGCAAATATAGTCTGATATATGTAAGTAATGCCTTTGGTTTGTTTGGATAGAGTCAAACTCCAATGTTTGTTTGTTTCCTTGATATGCTACTGTACAGAACCGAACTGTTTGTGTGACTATGTATATATACAAAGTTTTTTTTATGAATAAAGTATATTTTTAGAATTAAAAAAAATGCACAATTTAAATTCCTTTGCTCCTGTACCCTATGCCCTTGCGATAACGGCCACCATGCCAGTTGCAATCCTCATTGTTTGCTGCACTCAGAAGTGGGTCCTGACTCTGACGCGAGATTGTTGCATACTGAGCCACAGTGGACATTCCGCATTGTGAGATCATTCTCAGGTACTTGCAGCCCGTGAGGAAAGGGAGAGAGAAAGCTGCTATCCCGTAAAGCTGCCACCTTTACCATTGATCAAGGTTTAGTGGTACTTACTTTCTCTTCTGATCCTGGGTCTTGCCATCCTTCCCCATCAAGAGGTATGACTCCCCTGTCTCCAGGTTAATTGAACATGATTTCCGTTTCAGTACATGCCGGATGTCATTCGCCATGATGCTCTCATCTTTTGCTGTTTTAAAGAAGGGAAGGAAAGGTGGTGTAATTTCTATCTTTATTGGCAAGCAAAAATGTAGCCTTCACGGTCTCAGCAACATACTGAATAGCTGAACCCTTGCAAACTTGTACTGGAACGAATTTATGCTTAACAACGTGAAATAACAAAACTTTTCTTAAAAACAAAACAAAACTGTAGACAGACGAAGAAATGCGGAAATTTGCACTGTTGTTCTGCTTCCCGAGCTCACAATGCTATGTTCTTTAAGGAGATGGCTGAGGAACTGGAATTGATGTCAGACCAACTGAGACGCTAAAATTCATTTTCAGAATGAGGGTGTTGCTAGCTAGGCCAGTGTTTATTTGCTCAACCCAGTTAAGGGTTAACCACTTTGCTGCAGGCCTGGAGTAATGTGTAGGCCAGACCAAGCGAGAATGGCAGTTTAGTTCCCTAAAGGACATTACTGAACCAGATGGGTGTTCTTTTTCCCTTTCCCCTCTGACAATGGATTCATGGTCATCCCTAGATTCTTAATTCCAGATTTTATTTTTCCTTTATTGAATTCAAATTCCACCATCTACCATGATGCGGTTTGAACCTGGGTCCCCAGGATACCCCCGGGTCTCTGGATTAGCAGTCCAACGATAACGCCACTAGGCCACCACCTCCAACTGCCTTGCAAAGCACGGACAGCCAACCCTCCAACCTTGCCTTTGGCCCCGTCTCCACTCTCCCAGTGTCCCTCTTCCCTGCTCCCCTTATCCCATCTGCAATTACTTCTCCTCAGGAATCCAAGCAACCAGACTGTAGTACCAATGGTGGCCATCTCTGCTTTGGGCACAGTTGGCAGTGGAGAATTGCTGACATGTTGATCTGATACCAGCTCTCGGAGTGCAGGGAATTACTCCCTGCCCCCGCAGCTTAATGCGGTGGGATGACTCAAAAATGTCTGCGATTGGATTGCCTTGGAATGGATTCCCTGGGGAAAAGTGTCATTTTTATAGTGACGATCTTCCAGCCTCTGAGTGGCTTGTCTACATACTACCAATGTTACAGCCTTGTGCCACTCACCAAGATGAAGTTTTACAGCCAGACAACAGGCGAGCATGACACAGAATAACCGTACAAAGCTTTGGGTTTCGATTCAACGCTCTACACTTATCATGCAATTATTCCAATTGCTCAGATCAATTCATCAACTGGTTTGGGCTGATAACGGGGCCCAAATTGAGGAATTCATAGAGAGGAAATGGAGAGGCTGTGTTAAGTTTACTTACAACGTTTGACGGGCCTCGTAATGGAAACTGTGTAGACAATGAAACTTCCTTGTCTGTTTACATCGATCACCTGGACTATATAGGCTGAAAGAGATCTATCATCAGAAGGCTCATTTCAAAGGTTAAATTTCTTTTAAATAGAGGTTTAAGTCATCAAAACCAGAAAAGGAACGCTACAAGGAACAGTTCTGAGGAAGGGTCACCGGACCTGAAACGTTTTCTGCTTCACAGATGCTGCCAGACCTGCTGAGCTTTTCCAGCAACTTTGTTTTTGTTCCTGATTTACAGCATCTGCAGTTCTTTTGGTTTTTATTAAGGAACGCTACAGCCCTGAGGGAGTCCATTTGGCCCATCTGACTGGAGATAAAGATAACCCAGCCAGCCCAATCTACTTAGTCCCATTCTCCAGCTCATATCCAACTTTTGGATATTTACTTTTCAAATATGATGAATGTTTCTGCCTCTGCCTCTTTTTTTGAGGCAGGGAGTAACTTCCAGGTGAAAATGAGATAGTCCCCAGTTTCCTCTCATCCTATTGCAAATTAGATACAATAGGGTCATTTAAGGGGCTTTTAGATAAGCACATGAATATGCAAGGAATGGAGGGATATGGACCAAGGGTGGGCAGAAGGGATTGGTTTAATTTGGCATCATGTTCTGTACAACACCATGAGTTGAAGGGCCCATTCCTGCGCTGTACAGTTCTGCGTTCTAAATTCCATTAATTTAAGTCTGTGCCCTTTGGTTATTGACCCCTCTAATAAAGGAAGAAAGATCCTTCTGATTTTATTCTGGGAAAGCCAGTCACATTTCAATTTACATATATAGACTATCCATATACACGTACAATGAACCTTTATATATACAATGTCAACCGTTTCCTTTTTTCTATCCATTTGACAAGCGATTATAGATTATTTAACACCTCCCTCCACTCTCCGCCTCAAAACCCGGTACCCCACCAAGATAAATTGGGAAGTTAATTTATTTTGATGAGCTTTGGTTACACTGTGAAATATTTCTTACATTCCTCGCTTTCAGTGAGGGGAGTCAGATTGCAATAGATAGATAACATGGGCCCTCATTCAGTCTTCACACCAATCAGCTGATCAAACGCACCCAGCCAGAGAACATGGGCTGAATCTTACTTTTCTTTTGGCCGAGTGTCAATTTTGGTGAGTTTTTAAAGAAGGAGGTTTCTCGCTGTAGATGTGGCCTAACTAGCTACGCTTCTCGCCCCTATTGCCAGCTTTTAGCCCGTATCTATCACTCGCCTTAGCCGAGAGATCTCACCACAGCCCAGGTATCTCGGATAGGACTGGCATCCCTGGCGCCCATGTTTAAAAGGCTGTCATGCACCCAGACGCACACTGTCTGCCCAGGGCTGCTAAGCACGGTTCGTGATCCTGACCTGGATGTGGCAGACAGGTGGGATTTGGCATCCACTTTGCAGGCAGGCACCCAGAAGTGCTGGCAGCGGGGTGGTGTAGAGGAGGAACCTCCTCATCCCCCAGGGCTGCCAGAGGAGGCCACAGTGCCAGACCTTGCCAGCTTGGTCTGAGTCTGGTGGAGTCTCGGCCTTTTGGAGGAACACCCAGCCGAGTGTGAACCAAATCAATGGCTTTGTCCACTCTGACCGTGCTTAGTGCCACTGTCTCCTCTCTGCCACCTCACACCCGCTCTATATTCTTGCTCCAAGCCTTACAAGGGAAGTTAGAGATAGCATCAGATGCAAAAATGAGGCATACACATTGGCAAGAAGAAAAAAAATAAGGCTGAGAAGTGGGAACAGTTTAGAGGTTGGCAAGGGATTGATTAAGAAGGAGGAAATAGAACGCTAGAGTACACTTGTAGGAAACATAAGAACTGACTGTAAAAGCTTCTTTAGGTATGTAAAAAGAAAAACATTTGATGAAAACTAATGTAGATCCCTTACATCAGAAACAGGGGCATTGATAATGGGGGACAGAAAAATGGCTGAAAAACTAAATGCTTACTTCGCTTCTGTCTTCACAAAGATGGACACAAATAACATACCAGAAATGATGGGGAAACACAGTTTATAAGATGGAGGAACTGAAGCAAATTTGTATTAGGAGAGAAATGGCGTTGGGGAAATTGATGGGATTGGAGGCTGATAAATCCTCAAAGTCTGATAATCTACATCCCAGAGTAATTAAGGAAGTGGCACAAGAAATAGTCCTTCATGGTCATCTTCCAAGATTCTGGAACAGTTCCTACAGATCGGAGGGTAGCTAACGTAACCCTGCTATTGGGCAGGGAGTTCCAGATCTAGAGGGCATAGGTTTAAGGTGAGAGGGGGAAAAGATTTAAAAGGGAACTGAAGGGCAACATTTTCACACGGGGGTAGTGCGTGTATGGAATGAGCTGCCAGAGCAAGTGGTGGAGGCTGGTACAATTACAACGGCAGAGCGAGACAGGAGTCATGCGAGCCTGGCATCTCTCTGGCTAAGGGTGCAAAACGTAAAAAGGTGAGGCGAGGTCAGGGGGTGCCATGAGCATCCGGGTAGGCTCAAAGTGAGACACTAAGAGATCTCTGAGATGTGGCCTGGTCCAATCCGTCTGCCAGGTGCTAGCAAAGAGTCCTTGGAGCAGCATTGTGAATGACCATAGTTGCTGTGGTCTAAGGGGCAGCTTTACAATGCAGAAGGGCTCCCAGTGGCCCCCTAGTTGCAGCCCTTGGAGTGTGCCTTGACATGTTGGCCTTGGGTGACCTG